GTTAACTTATCACAGGTGGACAAAAGAGTTAGACTTTTTTTTGAGTGTCCTCTTGATATGACACCATTAAGAATCATGCAACTTTCAGCTGTTTGATAGCAAGTGTGTAATTGCAGCTCCAGGAAAAACTGACATAATTTAAACAAGCTTGTACTGTAAGCTTGAGTATTGAAAACCCAATCCATTAAAAACTTTTCTCACTTTTAGTTTCAAAGTCTTGGAGCTTCACATTTCACTCTGTGCTATTCCAGAAGCTCGGAGTGAACCAGTGACCTATTTGGAACATACTGGCATGCTAAGAAGCATAGTCCTGCTTCATTCTTTTTTTTTTTTTCTTTTTTTCTTTTTTTCCTTCACTTGTTGAAAAATTTCTTTTGGTAGTTTTGGTGGTAGAAACAGATAGTAATAAGTAAATAAATGTTGTAAACACCCATGTTCTTTTCTCATCTTCACCACCTAAATGATAATGTCATAGAAATAATAAAGTAGATATTTCCAAATATATGCACTCTTGTCCAACTTTAAATGAAAAAAAAATATGTTGCTATTTGGGCAAGTTCAAACATACTGAGGTTCATCATGGATGACTGGTTTTCCTACATTCCTGTTTTTCAAGATTAAGAGGTCTGCTTGGCATAAAATATATATATATATATATATATATTAAAATAATAGAAGTAACAGAATGAGAAAATAATATTCAGCATGTAAAATGTCTGGACTATCAAGCTAGTTAACCCCCTGAAGGGTTTAACTTACATTTTCTCTGCACTACTATCAAGACAAAAATCAGAGCACAAATGACCTGGGCTTAAACCAACCATTAAGATAAAATTTCACCACTTGCAAAGCAAACAATATCTGGCAGGTGGCAGGTACTGGAGAATAAGTAGTAATCTTTTTGGAAAACTGCATTTGCCAAGTGATTGCCAGACTGTGTGGCCTCAGCTGTCAGCAGTAGATTTTCAAGAGATAAAGTACAATAAAATAATAATTAAATAACAAAACAAAGTGAATCCATGCTTTACTGAAGAATTGTAGCTGGCATTTAAAACACACAAGCTGTCCAAAAGACAACTCCAGCTGTAGAAACATTAGTATTCACATGGCTCCTTGCATGTACACATGCCTATCCTATCAAGTGCTACTGAGTTCTCTAGGTACTGCAGTTTTTATATCAATTTTTGAGTGAACTAATATAATGAAAATAAATGAATGCCATAAATGCATAAGTATTAATGGCTTATTTAACTTTATTTTTTATGATAGTAATCATGATGTTCTGTGACATTATCTCAAATTACTGCAGTCATATAAATATAAGCTCACTACACTATGTGGTGTATTTAAGTAAGTGTGTTAGTATTTTATTTTTGTTTCAAAAATATTGATACATGTAATTTTAGGTGCTGATGTATGCAATGTCTTAGCGAAATAAAATCTCAAGTATTTGGGGAACTAGATTTTCTATTCATAAATATCTGGTCTTTTAGACTGCATTTAAGTTCTCAAAACTATTTTTCTCTGTCCCTGACAATTTTAATAATTTCACTGAAGATATTTCCAGAAAAGAAGCTCTGGACTTTGTGACAGCTATGTGAACTATTGAGCTATGTGAACTCAAAGGCAAATTCTGTGCTGATTTTTCAAGCAAGGTCTGTCTGCATATATGGTTTGATTCATGTTTGAAGTTCTGACCTTAGAATGAGAAACTGGAATGGAATAAGTATGGTGGAAAAAAAATAAAAATAAGATAAGTTGATATGTTTTGGCACAGAAAACTCTTCTGCTAAGCCACAACTTGAAGTTTATCCTTCTCCCCATTAGTTTTTACACCTAATAACCATAAAGGTGTTCTGATGTATGAGCTGACTTAATAACCCTGGGGGAAACATCACAAATCACAAAAGAAGTCCAAACCAGTTCAAGATTATTTTGCCAATTATTTTGCTATACAGACAAAACAGAAATCTCATGAATCTCAATTATTTGGCTCCTTCTGAATACAAGGGTAGCTATCTGTAAAGGATTGCCAGCAGTTTTGTCTAGGTATCTAAGTATTAGTCTGTGTATTTTTACTCATTTCTGATTATCTGAGTTAGTGGATACTAATTTCATGGGTAGCTAAAGTTCAATTTAACAAAGCACTTAAGTGTACAATTAGTAAGCAAGTGTTTATTGTCATTGATTATATCAAAGGAATCATATGAATATTTAAAACTGAGGTTATTTTCTGCTCAGATTTGCTGAATGGTGCCAAATTTTGCATGATCCAGCTTCAATTCAGCAGATTCACTGTTATTCAACAAAATAGAGAGCAATGTGCATAACTGAAAATAAGTTCCAGAATTTCCCTGACACAAAACTAGTCGACTTTATAAAACTACGTTTTTCACTGATCAATTTTTAAAAGTAATTTAAAGCATCACAAGTCTATGGAGGCTTATATCAGTATCCTGGACCCATTTAAAATCTGCCTCATACTGACCATCCTTATGTCAAGGTACAGAGCATTTTGAATTTTGATATTAGAATTATGCCGTGGTAGTATGTAATAAAGATGTCATAATCAAGACTTGAGGAAGCGTTAATGAGTCTGTTCTCAGCACAATTGCCACAAGCAATCATGAATTCTCAGCATTTTCAAAAAAAATACTTTTTAAGTACGACACAAAGTCCAGCCATACCACTGAAATATTTCATTTTGATTTGAGTGGTTATTGTCCATACTCAGGTAGATAATAATTTAGGAAATACTAAAAATAATAATAATAAAATAAAATAAATCAAATAAAAACTCTTTTAAAACAAGATGTTATAGATTTTCTATGTCTTGATGATAATTGGCTGCCCAAAACTGTTAGCATAATACCATGAAACTTTTGCTAACCACTATCACTGCTCTTATCATTTCTGAAAACTTGGTGCATTTTCCTTTCTTCTTTACAAAATATTTCTGATAATTAAATCCAGAAGACTAGGAAGCATTTCATGTTTGTTTAATCAGGCTTTTTTTTTTTTTTTTTTTTTTTTATGACATTCAGCTATGAATTCAACAAAGAATTCAACAATAATTTTGTATTTGTAACATCAAAGCATTCAACAATAACTTTGTGTTTGTGACATCAAAAAAAAAAACACACCCCATAAGGCTGTGGCTTAGATATTAGCTCAGTCAGAAGACAGTCTTCTTTTGACACACCAAATTGCTGGAATTTTTTCACATTATGATAAAACAAGATGATTTCAATATTGCAACACTAGATGTCATCACATCATGGTACAACATGGTGAAGTGATATTTAAACTCTTACCAGAGTAAGGATGAGTGAGTAATTCAAAACTAATAACTTATTCACTGTTTTTGTTGTTGTTGTTATTTTTGTCCAAAAATAGTCTGCCAGTTTCTTCATGTTTTGTAACCTATCACATAATTATGAACTGTTCATTGTAAACTTCAAAATTCAGTTATGGATTAAAGAGTGTTACTTCTGTTTCTAATTTATTTAACAATAGAATAAACTGGTGAACAATAAAGACAAATGAAAATCAAAGCAAACAGAAATGGAAGTCTGCTACTAAATTAAAATTTCCAGTGTAATTTTAGTTTCCATTTAAAAATATTTCAAATAAATATTAATATACATTTATATTAATTTATGCTAGTTATTTGGCTTTCTGTAAAATACTATTTAAAACAGAGGTAACAAATTTCCTTGAAATCAATTTCTACCAGTATACCAGTACAGTAAAAAAAAAAAAAAAAAAAAAAAAAAAAAGTAGATTTTGATCTATGAATAATGAATTCCTAAGAATTATCATCCTATCATCCTTCAGGTTTGCACTTTTCAGTACAACTGAATTCCATAACTTATGCATTCCTGCATACATGCTCATGTGACTTTGTTAGAAATGACCTTGTTTATGCTGGACCTTAACTGAGCCTTCTATCAAGCTGCTGAAAATTCAGGTCTCTTCTCTTAAGTTTTATTACATGATAATGTGAAAAATGTAGTGCCTTTTGTAAATTATTTCTGAGGATGAGCTCAGGTCGTACTGCTGATCTGCAATCCCTAGAACAGCATTTAGCAGCTGCTTTCTTCAGCTGTGCTAATTTTGTACATTTTGGTCTAGAAAATAGGATGCCGCTTTCTGGTGCTCAGTCTGCTTAATAATAGTCGAATAATTATTATTTTAAAATCCTCTCCCACTCAGAAACATACTTTCCTGTGCTTTGAAGGCACGGGAAATCTCCAGAGATTTTCAGCTACCTTTCCTCTCTTCACACTTTCCTTCTCTTCTCTACCACTTCATGTTCTTGCATAGGGAACTAAAAAGGGAAAATTCTTAGTTCCATAAATTCAGGTAAATCCATTGAAAAGAGATTTTAATCCCAAGAAATCAAATAGTGAAAAGAACATTTACAAAATTATTGCAGCATTTACTTTAAAGGCAACTATATGTGCTTCCTTTCCATTTAATAACACAAACATTACAGATCAAGGCTTATCCCATACTTTTATAATTTTAGCCTGATTTGCACCAAATTATGTTCTGCATGACAGACTGAAAAACAGTCTCAGTCTAGACCAGACCTTGGTTGGGGTGCTTTCCAGGTAGGCCCCTGATTTCTTGGATGACTTGTCTACCAACACCTCTTTCTCTGTTTTAAAAGAAAAATGAAATTAACCTTCTCAAATGCAGATGCCGGAAAAACAAAACAAAACAAAACAAACAAACAAACAAATAAAACACAGACAAAACAGAGATTTTGAATGCCTTCTTCACGTCTGTCTTCAACATCAATGATGGGTTCTAGAACCCCTGGAGCCCTGAGTTAGAGGACCACGACTGTGGTAACAATAAACTCCCAGCCAACCCCAAACTTGTGTGGGATTTGCTGCTCCACCTGAATGCATGCAAGTCTATGTTGCCCAACAGTATTCAGCCCAAGGTACTCAGAGAACTGTCTGATGCAAGACTTTTCAATTATTTTTCAGTGGTCTTGGGAATCTGGAGAGGTCCCAGTTGACTGGAAGCTGGCAAACATTGTTCTAATTTTCAAGAAGGTCAAGAAAGAAGACTCTGGTAATTACAAGCCTGCACTTCAGTGCCTGGTAAAATTATGGGGATTATTCTGGGAGTTATTGAAAAACATTTGAAGAACAATAAGGTCATTGGTCACAGCCAAGACAGGTTCACAAGGAGAAAGTCCTGTTTAACAAACTTAATTTCCTTTTATGACAAGGTCACCCACCTAGTTGACCCAGTTGATGTAATCTTTTTGGATTTCAGAAAAGCTTTCAATACTGTTTCTTACAATAGCCTTCTGGACAAAATGTCTAGTATACAGATAGACAAATAAATATTACAATGGATAAACAATTAGATGGTTTATTGGGCTCAAAGAGTTATAGTAAATGGGTTGGCAGCCAGTCTCTAGCGGGGTTCCCCAGAGCTCCATTTATGTTTTCATAAATTACTTAGGTGCAGGATTCAAATGCATACTAAATAAGTTTGCAGACTAAATTGGGAAGAGCTGTTGGCTCTCCAAGAGGTTAGGCTTGTCAAAGAGTTCTTGACAAATTAGCAGGATGGACAATCAGCAACTTCATGACATTTAACAAGTGTTGTATTCTGCACCTGGGATAGGGCAACCCCATCTATGCAACATATAGATGGGGGGATGAGAGGTTGGAGAGCAGCCCTGTGGAAATGACTTGGGGAGTTCTGGTTGACTGCAAGTTGAATATGTGTCAACAGTGTGCCCTGGCAACTAAAAGGGCAAACTGTACCCTGGGGTGCATCGAGCATGGTATTGCTAGGTGGTCAAGGGAAGGGATTGTCCTGCTCTACCCCACACTGTTGTAGCCTCAGCTCGTACTGGGTACAGTATTGGGCATCACAATATAAGGACAAAAAGCTACTAGAGCACATCCAAAAAAGGGTTATGAAGATCTAGATCTAGATCTAGAAAGATCTAGAAGACAAGACATATGAGGATTGGCTGAAGTCACTTCGTTCAGCCCTGAGAAGAGCAGACTGAGGGGAGGCCTCATGGCGGCCTGCAGCTCCCTCACAAGGTGAGTGGAGGGGCAGGCACTGAGCTCTGCTCTCTGGTGACAGTGACAGGTCTCAAGGGACTGACATTGAGCTGTGACAGGGAAGAGTCAGGCTGGATATTAGGAAAAGATTCTTCAGTGAGAGGGTGGTATGTCACTGAAACAGGCTCCCCAGGTCACTGGTCATGGCAGAGAGCCTGCTGGAGTTCAAAAAGCATTTGGACAATGCTCTCAGACATATGGTCTGATTTTTGGGTAGTGCTCTGTGGAGCTGTGAGTTGGACTTGATGATCCTTGTGGGTACCTTCCAACTCAGGATATTATATGATTCTATGAAATTCAGATTATGAATCTTAGTCTCAGTCAGGGAAGACTTCAGGGAAGGCTTTCTCTTCTACTTTGTAAATATTCAGAAAAACTTGCAGCAGAAGCTAAGGTGAAGTATATGCTTAATGCTATCATTCCATTATTATCAATAGAGAAATGGGAATATACAACTGAGAAAGTTCACTGCCTTTTTCTAACAACATCTCCTATCCAGTCAGAAGACAAGATAAAAAAGAATCTGCTTAATTATTTTTAGCAAGCAATATATTCCTTTATACTTTCATAAAATTTCAATTAAAGGAATATATTTTTACTAATTCACCTAGTACTGAAAGTCACTTAATAAACATTTTATTCAAAAAATGAATAGAGAAACTATGCTAGATGCTTGATGTTTTCACGTTTTGTCACCTGATTGCCTAAAACCTTTAGATTTGTTATTCCAGTAACCGTTTATGAAGCTGCATATAAATAATGTATTTAAAGTGTTACAATTTCAGGAATTCAAAAACATGCTATTTATGGCTCTTCAAGATACAAACCTTTATTCCCAGTCAACACAGAGGAGAATAATTGTCTTTATGGTCATCAGGTATAGAAGGTAGTTCTCTCACTACTGCTCTAAAAAGAGAAGAAAACCATTTTATCAGCCTGAAATTTATAGTTTACTGCAATAACAATTTGTAACTATCTGCCATTAAACTCTTCTTCTTATGTCTTTGAGCATTGACAGATTTTTGGAAAACTGGATGACAGTCATATGAATTCTTAAAATAGTAGCTGAAGGATGAGAAAAAATATAGAGCCCAATCCTGCCATGGAAACTGTGTGGGTGCAAGGCTATTACAACTCGTCTCTGTCTGCAAGACACTAACACTGGAAGAAAGGAGAAAAGAATCAATTCACAGAAAGAATTTCTTATTCATGATAAAATTTAGAATGATAGCCAGTTTTTGTAGGAACGTTATGTTGGAAATATGGGAGAATACCTTCATAAGTGTTTCTGCGCATACTGTTATTGTATGTACAGACTTAGCCCTCCAGGAGTTTCCAGTTTGATTGCACTTCATGCACTGTTTCAACTTTACAGCTATCATTTTAGTCAAGCAGAAAAATCCTTGTATTGAGTATTTAACTATTTAATATTACAATATTGAAATATCATAAAATATTCCTATAATGATTGTTTCATCTGCTTTCTTACAGGGAATTTAGCTGATGACAAATTTATAGATGCAGTTGTGTTGAATTTATTTCTATTATTTAATAAACATCTGCTGATGGGTTTTGATTTCACTTATGAGTCTTTTACCTTTAAAGAGCTGAGATCATATATGGCTCCTGTCATTTGCCAGTGAAAGGAGTGTGAAGAGGATGGTGTTACTAAAGGCCAGAAAACAGATTTCTGAGAGCCATTACTTATATGCATATAAGGGCTACAGTTGTTGTAATTCTGTATGGAATCAGACATGGGGTTAAAAGCACTATGGAACATAGTTTTGAATGCAGTGAACAAGAGTTGACATCAGTGTTGCCATATTTTTGTTAAGTTTCTGTGAAATAATAGAAGCTGAATTATTTAGTTGTTTATATATGAAAGGAAAGATCTTTTGATTCAGAACTGCTAGTTTTTCTCTTAGAGCTAATCTATAAATGAAAACTATTTTCTTGCAATACATTTTTGAAAAAAAAAAAAGACCATATTTCATCTTCTAGATAAATTTTAAATTGATTTTAATTATTATTTTGTGGATTTAGTTATTAATATACTGTTGTTAATATTAGTATGTTTAATATACTAATTAAAGATATATTAATATACTGTTATCCAAGTGCTTTTATTCTACAAGCTTTTAACACATACATTTGTGTTTTAATCTTGGGAATAAGATGCATAACCTTTTCAAGACTTGCTATACAGCTTGCTGTCCAGGAGAAAAAAGGGCACCATGTATACATATGTAAGGCACACATATGTAAGGTAAACAATAGTAATTGTATTGCATGAAGTAATTTTATATTTTACTGTGCTATTAATCCATCTTTTTACAGACAACAAGCCAAAATTCATTCTTTTACTTATTTCCACTGTGGTAATGGAATCTAGCCCACCCTAATTTAGCCCACATTAGAAACAGGTCATCATAATTTTCCTCATTTCATTCTCTGGAAAACCTTTCATTACCTGCCTGAGAGTTACTGTATAGCTCCTTTCACTGATAGGTTTCCACACATGCTCTACAAATAATGTGCGATGATATGATCTAGGACAAGAAAACCATTATTACCCAACTATTTAAGAGTGTTTAGTAGCATTTTTGCTCTTCCTTTCTGAGAATATAAGTAAAATTCTTCTTTGCTACAAAGAGTCAGCTATTACTCAAGGGGAAAGAAGATCCAGGTTAAACAGGGCAGCTTTAAACTTTAGCATTCCATTGAAGACATGATAGGTGGACAACTTGCCCTATAATATTCCTTCTTATACTGCTCATAGGATTTGAACTCAATAGAGATAAAGAAATAAAATAAATTATATAATTCAAAAATCTGAGTAAATAGCATGTAGAAAAATTAAGATGTAGCCTTATGTAAATAGCAAACAGAATAACTTCCTCAGGCATATTCAGAACTATGTAAAACCTCCAAGAGTAGCATACAGAAAACCTAGATAAAATATAAAATATTTTATCCTCTCTAAAATATAGAAGGGAAAACAAACAAACAAACAAAACAACAAACAAACAAACAAACAAACACAATGAACACCACCAAAGATGATTGACCTAAATTGCAAGAAGATAGTGTTGATTTCTCATTGACCTTTCTCCAAGAGGAGCTAAGAAGAAAGGAAAAAAGATAAGATTTCTGCAGCTCTCATATTAGTGGTGTGTGAATGTAGTGGTAGTGGCTGTAGCAGTAAATAACTTACCTTGCTACAATGAACACAAAATGAATCCTGTTCTGCACTGTGGAAAAGAATAAATAAGCAGGTTAAATATACAACAGAATGCAATAACGATATTGAAATGAAAGACATTAACACTGATTTCTCATAAGGACAAAACTGAATGTTCCATACTTTCTTCCTTCTTTTCCTCTTCTTTACGTTCCCTATTTGTTTTTGTTATAAATGTCAGACAGATAGTTATTTAAATATCTTGAGATTCTGGGATGGCAGAAGTCCTAACACTAAAATAAATATAATCCTTAATGGGAATATTCTTCATTTTTTCTTCTATGATAAAAAGAAAATAAAAAATGTTCAGGCCTACTATTGTATCTCTAGTCAAGGTTGATATGAGCAATATGTGTAGATTTATACAAAAAGTAAGTGATTTATAAAGAAAATGAGAATAAGTCTCATGAGGAAAGTGTGGTTCACCACCTTTTGGGTGTCATTGGTGAGAAGTGGGTATATTTTTAGTCAATGTTGTATAGTAAGTATGAAATCTGAGAGCGTGCCTCAGTCAAACTCCATGTTCCGTGTCTCATTTTCTGTTTCTTGCTTCTTAAACATTTTCCTTCTGCCTCTCACTCTCAGGGTTGTTTTGTGGCTAATGGAATAGATTCAGTAAACTCCGAGTCTGATATAATCATGCTGTGCTTGTTCCATAGATTCTTCATGTTTACATCTAGATCAGCTGTCTGATGGTGTAGCAATAAAGACATCAACTCACACTGAAAGTTCCTGCTAAGTTAATGAGACTAAGTTAAAAAAAAAAAAAAAAAAAAAAAAAAAAAAAAAAAAGGACATCAGCAGCTAGAAGTGGTTTTGTCTTTCCCTTTGCCCAATAATATTAAGGAGCAGTTTCTGAACTCTGTGGGAGCTTACACTATAAAGCAGCACCTTGCACAGCTCGTACAGAGCCATGTTGTCTGTTGATGTAATCACCATGCCGGAACTAATTAAGGTCAGAATGACATTTTCTATGTAAGACAACTGCAAAGTTCCATACAGAAGACCAAACTACAACTGATCAGAAAACCTCTTGGCCTAAATGTCTTTTCATACACAAGGACAGACCTGTCCCACTTTTCTGAAGCATAGGAAATGCATTTTTTCCTTCCAGCTCTGAGAAAAGAAATTAGAACAATGCAATCTGTGCATGCTGATTTGTGATATGAAGGCAACTATCACTTAGGAATGTCATATTCTTAGTTTACCCTTTGTCCTTACATGACAACAAATTATGGCATGGGCATTTAAAATGCACAAGGATGGTGGGACATTTTAATATTTTAAGACATAAAATCATTAATTTTGCAAAAAATAGAGGCTGAAGGGAGATTATCAGTTTCATATATATATATATATATAAATATATAAAAAAATGTAGCAGTGTCTATGTGAAAAAACTACTGAAACTGCTGGGTATTTGCTCTTCCACCCTGTCAGTTTCACTGTTCATCAGTAGTCTGGGCTGCTTTCACTGATGCAAGAAAGGGACTTTGTAACAGCCTAGAAAGGGAACATGACTAAGCAATGCTTGGATTATAGACTAGGTTGGTAATACACAGTAAAGTAAAACAAACAAGCAAACAAACAAAAACACAGGTATATACATTTGTTTATGCAGAAGTAGGAATAAAATCACTTCTCAGCTGATTCCTTACCAATGCATTATTCCACAGTGGAAATAATACAATTTTAAGAACTTAAACTTTTCTTACAAGTTTTACCGAAATAAATTTTAGAGAAGAGAGAAGGGAACTCATGGAAAGTCTATATTTTTGAGTGATATCAAATACAACTAAGTACAACAGTTTTCATGTAACATTACCATTATTGACATGATTTTTGTTTTATTTGTTTGGATGGTTTTCTTCTTCTGGCATTTTCAGGGAGAGGGAGAGGGAGAGGGAGAGTTGTATATTGCTTCATGACCTAGTGACTTATAAAAAATATTAAATATTAAAATATTTTTGGTTACTTCACAAGAGTTTCTATTTTACAGAATGGAAGTGTTTCATAGATCTTCAGATGGGGGACAATAACAGTGGGAGAAAAAAAAATCAAAAGACAGAATAAGATAACTAAAAAGGGAGGGGGAGGAGTGGAGAGAAGAAAAGAGAAAATCGAGGAGGTATTATTTTTGTTGTTGGAGGTGTCGGTTTCTTGTTTTATGGTGGAAGATCAGACTATGCATCTAATAGACACTGAAGTGTTATCAAAGGTAGACTGAAATACATTTTTGGTCTCTATTATTAAACCTCTATTTTAGCTTTCAGACTAATCCTGAGCCAGTTCTGATGGTCTTATTCAATATCTTTATTGACAATATTAAGAATAAAACTTGTTTGCAAACTGTTGCATGTAACAATTCATAATTAATGATGCAGGTCGGCTAAGTTACACTTTCTCACTCTCATAAGCATGATGGAATAATTTAAAACCAGAGTCAGCAATCTTTGGTGCCTCGCTGAAATTAGAGTCTGAGTCTTATGGGTTGCAGATCCTGCATCTTACAAGTGAGAGGGTCTCTCGGCCTTTACCGATTATAAAGCTGCATGGTCACTCATTCTATGCAATTTGTTGAGACACCTTCTTACAGATTTCTGAGTTTATTTAAACTTTAATTTCTATCTAAATAAATGATAAAACTGTTTACAACATAGGGAACAGAGAACTCACAAATATATAATTTACATAAGGAACATGAATGCATATTTAGAAAGAAATGTAACTGAGCAGAACAGATGCATGTATTACAAGAGAAAAAAACTTACCTTACTCTGGAGTCTTTGCTCCCAGTATTTTGCCATCTTTTGGTCCTCACAGAAAACCCCCTCCAACCTAACAGCCCTTCCACCCCGGCTCTACAAGTTATATGATAGTGCAAGCTATCCACTAGTTTCCTTCAGTGACTGGTATTTTTTAAGGGAGTGTTAATAACTGGTGATGGGAGTTGTACACATGGAAATACAAAATATGCATAGTTTGCTTTGGCCTCTTGTCACATTATTATTATTTTATCTTTTTGTGTCTATGTGTTCATATAAGATCACTGGAGAGGTTTAGACTAAGACTGTCAGAGAAAATTCTATTTCAAGAGAGGATGCTAGATATAAGAAATAATTAGGATGTAAGAAAACTAAATCAAAACAGACTAATTTACAAAGCACCAACCTTTGCTGTTAAATGATGGCCTACACTGAATCATCTCTGAACCACTTTCTTTGAAGATCACCAGAGAGAGAAGTAATAGACTGTTAAAGGAATTTTGATTTAGCCAAGGATTTGCTGCTCTGCTGGTGACTGATATCTGATAAGCAGTAAATCTGCACTACGCTTCAAGTTGTGGGTTCTTACTTTCAATCAGATGAGGTCATCCTATACACAAGTGTTGTGGGTTAACCCTGGCAGGCAGCTCAGCTCCACACAGCTTCTTGCTCATTGCCCCTAGGTGAGATGTGGGAGAGAATCAGAAAGATAAAAGTGCTTGGTCTCATGGGTTGAGACCAAGACAGTTCACTAGGCAAAGCAAGAGATTCACACAAGCACAGCAGAACAAGGAATCCATTTGCTGCTTCCCATCGGCAGACAGGGGTTCAGACACCTCCAGGAGAGCAGGGCTTATCCTGCAGCACAGCTCCTTGAGAAGACAAATGCCATCACCCCAGCATCTCCCCTGCCTCCTCCTTTCTCCCAGATGCTATTGCTGAGCACGGTGCCACACGGTGCGG